AATATGGAGATGTTTGTTTGGGGAGAACAGTAAGAAAATAACACACATCAACATGGCTGTAATAATTGATTTCCAAATGAATCTACAAGTACATTTTTGTATTGGTATAGAAACGGTTCACTTTCTGTTTATGTAAGATTCTTTAGTATTATATTACCAACACATACAGGACATTATACTGAAATTCTTTAATAATTTCAAAACTGTTCGATCAGTTGAATCCATTTCATTTTAAAATTGAAAATTCCTTTGAATTTTCGGAAGTCATTATTAACAGACTTTTTAAAAATGTTTGATTCAATGTGAAGATGTGTTTCATACTGGTACATTTTAGTAAGGAACATGTACCAATATCAAAGTAGCTGTGTGAATAGATGTAGGGGTTTATAAGCCATATATTATAGAGGGGGTGGTGTGGTATATAGAGGGAGGGGTGGGGACCACTGATTATACAGAGATGTGGGTGACGACCATAGAGGGAGGGGTGGGGACCACTGATTATACAGAGGTGTGGGTGTGGTAGATAGAGGGAGGGGTGGGAACCACTGATTATACATAGGTGTGGGTGTGGTAGACAGAAGGAGGGGTGGGGACACTAATAGTATAAAGATTTCTAAAGGCACAATGAGTCAGTACAATTAATGTCCACCCTGCAAATATTTGTTAAATCTATATACTAAACTCTGACAAACACCAGATTACCATGGAAATAAATTTCTATTTAAGTGTCAGCTGTTTGTGTGGTCAATTGTCAAAAATGTGGCCAGTCCAGTAAATGTTTGATAATAACACCTACACAGTTCCCTGGAGTGGTCAGGTATCATGGGGATGACATCTCATTTCTCAGGATGACTGGACATAACATCCAGATACAATTAGTAACTAAAATCATCTAAGCGTTTCATATTATACAATGGCTTGACCCCAATTCTGGTCCTGATAATCGTGTCTCACTTTATATTCACCAATTTAATAGAAATGACAGGCTTTCCATGTTGATCTCTTTAATTCATTCTTTACTCTAAAATCCTGTCCACTTTTATAAATAATTTTTGCCCTGAAGTGGTTTAGTGTTTCTGACCCTTCTTTGTGAAATCACGTTCGGAATATGAAATATCCTTTGTAGGGTACAGCAACAGGTGTGTTGTTATTCAAACCTGACCACTGTCCACTCAATGGCCAGAGGGGTGGGGGAAGCACAAATAACACTCAAGGTCATCTTTAAATGATGTGTACAATGTTAATGTGTTGAGGTGTGGTCAAATATTTTCATATTTTGTTCTGTAAACAAACTAAGCTGGTTGTACTTTGGGATTGGTCATAATACAAGTCCTTAACTCAAACTTTTACATGAACTCATAATATGTTATATCTAACATCCCTTCTATAAAAGAAAACTATGAAAGAAAATTATCATTGTAATGATAAAATTTCATCTGATTTCTATAAACAGCTATTTCTTTTCTAAATGATCTGATGAGAGTTAATAAATAGACCACACATGAGGAAATCCAAACCACAGTGAAAATTAAATTTATACTTTCTTGATATATTAAAAAAAGTTTTTTATTCCTATTTAAATAAAATAAGAAGTCAGAAATACAAAAAATCCCAAAATAATTGGTGTGAAAATATAATTTCAAACCTAGAATTCACCTTGTTTTTTGTTAGCCTTTTTTCTCAGCCAAGTCACCTGTGGCGTTGAATGAAGGTTTAATTCTATTACCAGTCACTGAGTGGTGCCATTGTTATGGATAAAAGTCAGGTAAAGAAGATGCTAATACCTTGCTTAACGAATGTTCCTTAGGTACCAATGTATGTCACCTCTCTAAGTCTTCCCCACCTGCACAGTGAACCCATCAAAAAACCTGTGTGTATAGGGACAATTCCGACTGTTTAGCATCCTTTAGCATAGCCATATCATTATGCAAACCCAGGTATTGTACTTCTTTGTCAACACATTATAATCCATATATACATAGAGAAACAGCTCTACATTCCCACACGGATCGGGCTGTGACTATTGTCTTCACGAGGACAACGTCCCAGGAATGGATTACAGAAAAGTACCGCACTTATCTCCAGTATCGTACTTTTAGGTTCAATTAATTCTCATGGATACCTCTCAGTTTTCCTGCGGGAAATATCGTTTAGTTAGTCCAGAAAGCTCTCAACTCTTTCATTCCTTAGAAAAAAATGATATATTCTGATGTAAATTTTCTGGAGTGTTATTGCAAAATGTTTAAAATGAAATTTTGGAACATCTGCAAAATGTGTGTGAGGCTTAGAATCTCTCCTTTATCATCACTGGGTGGGACCCTGTCAGAATGGTGCTATGTCACCTACTACAACAAGTTTGGTTACATAAAATCCTAGGTGAATCTATTGATAAGTTATACACCTCCTAATCCCCTTATAACTGCCTCAACATAAAAATGATTTTATCACCTAGAACCCACTTTTAATTTCACCCTTGCTCATCAAACACTTCAGTCCCGACATCTGTCTATTTGGGTGGTTCTCCATCTTTTCACAGATTGAGCCAACTGTGACAATCATGTCTTGTGATGTCCAGCTACATCAGACCAAACTGGAACTGACCTCTGCCTTATCTACAGTTAATTACATAGTTTCATGAGTGAGAGAAATTTAATAAAATCTACATTGTAAAGCGATATTGGCCACTCAAAGTGCCCATTAATGACCATTTGAGAAATTTCTTCAAACACCAGGATTTCCTGTAATATATCATCCACTCAGTCTGCCCATTAATTATACAACTGGACCCAAAGTATCAAATGACGAAATGATAATTCCAGATGTTACAAACCCATTGATCCCGACCCTTGTCAGTGTTTATATTCAAATTGCTATCAAATTACTAAAATCCTATTTCATAAATCAAATAAAATCGGCCAGTTGAACAATTCTATGTTGTAGCTTTGTGATTCATTTCAAAAACACAATAGACTATAGGTTTAATATACCAAACTCTTATTTCTTACTTGCTTCCTCTGTTTCAAATTAAGAACTTCAGCTTTTTTTTCCCCCTCATTCTTTTTAATATTCAAATATAATAATACATGATTTTTTAACATTAAGATGGGGATGATAATGCTGACTATCTACATCATGTGATTGGAGGTTTCTCAGAAATGACAGAACATTATTTCAAATTATGCAGAATTGGAAAATGTTATTAATGATTCTTAACGGTAAAACAAAATTACGATAGAATTGGTTACAGGGACAAGTGATCTAAATGTACTTATCATCATCCAGCCTGGCAGGCTATTTGTCAAAGAACCTGTAATGCATTAACTTTGCGCTGGGGTTTTAACTAATTTGGAAATACCATAACAGCAGTATATATATGTATATATAAAACTTGATTGTTATAAACTAGACTTTGTATATAATACTTTAGTGGAGTCTATTATCGTTACTAGGATAGGTACAGGATGATGAGAACAATCCGTCATTTTTCTTCATTCTGTTTCAAAACTAACATATAGTCAAGTGATTTATCAAAATTTGCCACTCGGTACACAATGGCAAAGTGTCAGTTTTATTTGAAGAATTCATCTATTTTAATAAATAAAGACAATTAACATCACTGGCATGGTAACACCAGCATCTTACCAACTGCTTCAAGACATTACTGCCATCGAAAATTGACATAATTCTAACCGACTACAGTTCATTTTTGTAAATTGATTTCACCATCATGAAGAAATACATCATCAACATCCCTAATCGCAAATAATCTAATTTTTGGACAATTTATTGCACGGGTTGTGTTAATGAGTTGGCATCATAAGGAGCCGTACCAAGGAATATTCACTAATTTCTAAAACACTCTTTTCTGCAATTAATATAACGAAATATTCTTTTTCGCCATAAATTTCACAATAATCAAATTAGCACCTGCTTTTTTCACCTCATTTGTATGAAGAGCGACAATCATTCTTTCTTCTTCTTCTTCATAGATCTGAATTCTAAATTATGATACGTGCCATACTTAATTGCTGATAAAGGGAATCTGGTGCACCATGAATGTTAAGAATCAGTAAATGCTATGCACAAATAAATTCTACACATGTACTTAAATGGTAGTTTACACATTCTGTAGGAGCAGGGACAGTTTTAGTGTCCACAGCAGGGTTTCACCTCCTCCCTAGACAAATTCCTGGACAACAACATACCAGCGGAATTGTAAATGAACAGCTAATTAGACTATGGCACTTAAGGCATGCCCCCACTCTCCTTCCAACGCCCAGAAAAAATTAAACAAATGGAACAGAAAAGTAAAAACCTAAGCTACATATGTTATTGGTATTCCTAAGAAAGTTAGACAATATTTTATCCAGTTTCTAATTTAAGAAAAAAAAAATATCATCACCAAAGTTATACTCGTAAACTTTAACACCATCTTTATTTGGTAGTTCTTGTAGAATTAACTGACCATGTTCCTAACAGACTGTGCCCATAATACAGAAGTGACAAAGCCATTTTGAAATTATCAATAATTAACAGAGAATTTTTTCTGATTAGAACTGCACCTTATATTGGACACGAAGAGTTGTACACATGTAGACTTAAACCACAAAATTACTTATATTTCATTCAGAAGTGGAGAATTCCAGTATTTCTATATTTTGAAAGTAAAAAACACTTTAATAAAAAGAAAATGCACCAAACAGTTATTAAAAAACTAAGTGTCAATTATTTTTATTTAAAACATCTAGGAATGACCAACATGTGTTTAGAGATCACTTGATTTGTCAAAGAACTCCATGGAACAGCGGAAACCAAACCATGAGATATCAAATAGTTACACTGAGATAAATGTGTACAAATAATTGTTAAAGTCAGCTGATAAACCTTTAGGAAACTTCAAGGAAATATACTATAAAGAAGAAATGAAATCAACAAACACCAATATCGGTCTCAACCTTAAGAAACAGGATGTTTTACGCTTTGACGATTGCGTGTCTTACCTGTATGAGAACGTATGTGGATTTGAAGGGCACTGTCACTGCCAAAGACCTTATGACACAGGCGACACTTGTGACGGAAGAATGGATCATCACTAACAAACTGGGATCTCTCAACCACTGAAAGACACAGAAAGGCCAATTTGAAATAATCATATCAAAACTTTTTTCATCTATCTTAAAAAAAAAACAAAAAATGCATTAACTTTTTTCTCATTATTTATCCCAAATCCAATGTATTGTATATAAATTTTCTTCCCCTCTTTATAACCCTCCTCATTTCAGTCTTACAAGAATTATTTCAAACTTTATTGGTCTTTCTTTTTCTTTCAAGTGAAAAAAAAAACAAAAAAAAAAACCACACATGCAATTTCCAGACGAGTTCTTGCTCTCTAAAAGGAAAGTCAGCATATATACATTTGTCTGATAATATAAATTACACTGACTGCAAACGTTGATCGCAGTCTCTTGTTTTTAATTTAAAATGTTCAACTGCACACAAATTAAGGTAAGAGATTTTTTGCAATTTCATTTAGTTAGTTGAAATGAATACAAATTGAATGTTCCTTTGTCCTGAGGATAATGTTGATTCACATTGTAGAACATGCTGGTATATGCAGGATTGGATGAATTTACGCTTCACTCACTGGGTTCTTACATGATAAAAATTCTAATAACTCAAATTTTGTTATAATTGAAAACTGGCTGTTTCCAATTATTTCCTAGTTCTTTCCCCTATTTTGAATTCTAACCCGGTGTTGAGCATATGTTTAGTTGAGTTTCACTTTCTTCACCCCTCTGGAGCAATCTGTTAATTTTCAGATTGAAAATTTAGTTTTTTCTAATCTATTCATAGAAAACTAATTCATACAGTGTAACCAAATAAACATACAGTTTACTTAAGTTTTGACAATAATTATTTCTAGTTTATGCAGTAACGGAATAAAGATTTCAACTTATAAAGTGAAGATTACTTTAATAGAATTACAGAATAAAGATAAAAATGTAATGAAAACTTCAAAATTAAACAAACTGATATTTTAAGATAAACGATAACATAAATTTTACAATTTTTTTTTCGACAAAATTTTGAAATGACTTTTCAGGTAAGTGATAAAATAGAGATTGTTGATATTGAAGCTAACTATAAAACTATCAAGTTTATAAAAAAAAAAATCTTTTCAGACAAAAATATGACGGTTGATAGGTGCACATCCCGGGTATTGTTACATCTACAGCAAAAAATTATAATAATGTAAATAATCACTAAAGAAACAGGTTTAAATCGGTGTATAATGAAGGGGGACTGTTCAGAACTGTGATGGTTCAGAGCTGACAAAAGTATATTTTTGGGACTGAGGTACTGGGGCGAATGCATTTTGAGAGGAATGTAACAGTGAACACATCACCAACGGAAGCTATTTTGAACACATCAATGGATGCTGGTTCAAAGTTTCGCGACATATTTTGAGAAGGAAGTAAGAGGGACTAGCAGACTGAGAGAAGCTGGTTCAGAGCTGTGTGATATACTTTGACGGGGAGTAGAGGGACCAGTGGAGAGAAGATGGTTTGAGGGGGGTCTGAGAGAAAGTGGAAGTATAACATCTGATATTAACATTTCATCACAGTCCAAAATCGTTTGACATTCATATACACTTACAGATGGTATCAAGCCTCTGATGTAGGCATACGTTCCTTTAGAACTTAAACACCCTCAAACAAAATACACTCAAAATATGGCTGATTTCTGCCACATGTGCCAGACACTTCCGCATCATTTTTCTTTATGAATTGCTCGAATATATATAAACCCATTACACATAACAATGACAAATGGTATACAACTGCCAGAGAAACCAGAGAATGACATTCCAACCAAAAAACACCATCAGATCTGTCTAAGAGCCTTATCCAATTTGGTACTTTTTTTATCAGGTGACCCGAAGTTCAAATCCTAACCGTCAGACTTGTTGACAAACTAAACTACCTAGGCACAACTTTTAAAGCTATCTCTTTTTTTCAAATGGCATTTTTATGAAAACAAAAACCATTTCTAAATCTTTTTTTCCTCTGTCTGATTTCTGTTGATAGATAGGCTAGGGTATCCAGCTCCCTCCATATCATAATTTTGGTGAAATGATATAAAAATGGGATAGAGGGAATGAGTAATGTAAATATGGCCTTTATCCAAGAAGTGGGTTTTGACTGGCAGTGCGGCAGCTGGCAGGCAGTAGTGCTACTATAATTCTGTCAGGCCTGTTTGATATGCAGTATCATATTTTGTTATTTCCTGATATACCAGCAGGAGTTTATTAGGGGCACTGCCCTCAACATTTTTACTTTTATTTAATTGATGTTATTTCACTTTTGTTTCCAGCTTTCTGGTATTGAAATTATATACTAAAACCTTTCTTCTAAAAGTGAAATAGATTATTAATGTTTCAGTCTTTACCTGTACTTTTTTAAGTTTTTATAAAATCAACAAGCCGATTTTTGTGGTTTTTTTTACCCCAAGTTAGTCAGTAGTATGTTAACTGCTGTGAGAGATATATACAAAGTTAGGTTTATGGACTTTGAGATTTGATTTTATCCTGTGTTATGAGATTTCGGGCTGAACTCTTCTTCTTGGTGGATATGAAAACTGAACATGTGGGTGGCAAGCTATCTCTAAAACATATTTTCTAACAAGAACCAGCAGGGAAGGAACACAACATTGATGGAAGGAGGGACCCCAGCCATGCATGCACGCTCTCCTGGTTAGCAATGACAAATTTGCACAGCAGTAAGCTAATAGAGGCTCGCAAATCAGGATAAGTAACTCTACTGTAAACACATATACCTCCACTAGTAGCAGTCAGTTACCTCGTCAGTTTCTTACATTTAATCCAATAAATTACAAAGGTTAAACTTTGAAATTTTGGTAATGCATTTTGCTTGCTAATGTATCAATTAAAATTAACATTTTTTAAAGCTAGATGGTCCAACAGACCAAATTAAAATACTAAAACCATATCTGTGTACACAAGGCAGTGTCAGTTATACCTACAGATCAATACATTTTGATAATGCAATACACCATCATTTCAAACAGGGGTAAAAATAAATCACGTTAACTTTTGAATTAAAGTACTGATATGACTTCAAGTAGTAATACTCTATAGAATGTTATCAAATTAATTCATTATCATAAATGCATTACAGAAAACCGTTCAAAATTTCTTCCAAATTACCCCGTTACAAGGTAATGATACAACCTGCAATTTGCCTATCACAGAAAAATGTCTTTTTTCTTGTAACTCTAAAACACTGATATTAATTCATTATTCCCAAAATAACCAAGACTTCGGTAAGAATTTATCTAAGAACTTGACAAATATTTAACGAATGCATCAATCAGACAAATGAAGAATGTTATATGTATAAGATTTCATTTTTTTTTTGCCTGAAAAATATTTTCTTTTTTTTTTCTCCCCTCTATTTCTTGATACTCTCTTATCACGATAATTTTATAATGCTGATAGTAACTTCTCTTGCACTCAGAAGAATTAACAAAAACTGGATGTGTCATATATGTTTAAAAACATCAGTTATTTACAAACTGAAATGTGTTTAGACGAAGCATGACTCACAAGAACAATAATGCTGGTAAATCCTCAACAAAAGAATTTTTTTCCTGTCCGGAACATAACACCATGAATTTACGATACGATAGGGTTTAAATACATCTCCGTGAGATACAGTCAATGACACTGGTAATAGATAATATGATGATAACACTGTTCTATTTTATGAAATTTACCGTGCCATCCAGTGCATATTCATAACATGTAATTGATTAAATGAACCCACAATTTTTAATGCCTATCTTCCCTCTGTTAGTCTGTTGTATTTCGTCAGAGACCGAAATTTGATATTTCTGTGACCGTGGATTGAAAAGATTATAAAGTGTTTTTTGTTTTTCTTCTTTTTCTCTTTAAAGATTGGAGCAACTTGAAATTAGCAACACTAAACACTAATTAGTCAACTTTAGGCAAGATAAAGATGACCTTCCACAAAAAAAGGCATTATTGACGTGACCATTTGGTGATGTTATACACTGCCGCAAGGTGTTGCTGAGCTCTTCTGTTTATCAGCTATGATCTTCTCCGTCAGATAAAAATCAACACAGGGCTATACAGTGCCCTAAACAAGATCTGGACAGTTATATGAAAATTTGTAACAATAGCAGAGTGCCTGTCCTTGTGTGATTTTAAAACCGAATATAAACTGATTAATATTAGCAGGGCATGCAAGCTTTGGATTATATTCATGACCCTGTAAAAAGGACAAGATTGGTGACAAACTGTATACCAGAAAAGTCACTTTGTTCACTGTTTTTTTTCGTAATATTTTAGAATATTTTCGTGACTTTGACGACACAAAGGCTAGTCACCTGTGACAGGTTAGCCAAGGGTTAGAATTATATTCTGGTCTCAATTTTACACTCGACTTGTATTTTTCTTTTTAAATTGCATTTACTTACAATAAAACTTGCACATGTCAGTAAGTTCTATAACCCCTTATTTAATAGGGTTGTGTGGGGTCGACAAAAAAGAAATTTTATCATCGGTAAGAAATGCCTTATTGTTAATATTCAAGGCACTTACATCTCTTTTATGTATTGCCAGCATACAGAACTTGTATACTAATAGGACCAAACCGATTATATTAATATTTCAGACATGTGGTATTTGTGAATTTGTATGCAGACATTTTAGGGACAAACAAATAGATTACACAGAGAGTAATATACTTTGTGATAAAGACATGTAATAAACCCCAAAAGATATTGAGAAAATCATTCGAAATTGCCATATTCCTCATATATCATTCAATATATTAAAAGTTTTGTCATTTGATATTAAATATTTCCTATATACAGACAGGAAATTGGTACTCTTGATGCCAAGTGTCTCATGTCTATTAACGGTCAATACATAGTTTGCTGCGGGTTACACTGCTAAGTATAATGTCTTCAAGAAAACCACGTTAATAATGAACTTGTGTCCTTTTTTGTCATCTTAATTATATGACAATATAACAGTAAAAAACAGCTACATGGTTTATGACTAGTATATTAA